AGCATTCCTTACCATTCCCGTACACAAGACCAATATCAGCTGTCCCTCTCAGGTAGCGAAAAATCCTTTTCACCCCTTGCCAGTGTTCCCTCCCAGGTCGAGCCATAAACCTGCTTACAACACTAACAGCATGCGCAATATCCGGCCTAGTACAGACCATAGCATACATCAAACAACCAACCGCGTTTGCATATGGAACTCTAGACATATAAGACAACTCCTCCTCTGATTGAGGTGACATAGACAAAGACAACTTACAACTAACAGTAGTTGGCGTACTTATAGGCTTCGATTTTTCCATCCCAAAACGAGACAAAATCTTTTCAATGTAGCTTTTCTGAGTCAAGAAAAGCTTACCTCTAGCCCGATCCCTGTAGATCTCCATACCCAAAATCTTCCTAGCTGCACCCAAGTCTTTCATGTCAAACTCCGAGTTAAGCATCTCCTTTAATCTAGCAATATCAGATTTATTCTTTGTGGCAACCAACATGTCATCAACATATAACAAAAGATAAATCATGGAACCATTATCCAGCTTACTATGATACACACAGCAATCATATGAATTCCTGTCAAAACCTTGTGAAACCATAAAAGAATCAAACCTTTTGTACCACTGTCGGGGGGATTGCTTAAGTCCATACAATGACTTTAGCAATCTGCAGGCATAGTGTTCCTTTCCAGGAACTTCGAATCCTTCGGGCTGCTTCATCAGAATCTCCTCCTCCAAATCGCCATGAAGGAAAGCCGTTTTAACATCCAACTGCTCCAGCTCAAGATCAAAATGTGCTACAATTGACAATAACACACGGATAGAAGTATGTCGAACCACAGGTGAGAATATCTCAACAAAATCAACCCCTTCTACCTGACTGAACCCCTTAGCAACTAGCCTAGCCTTAAAACGTATTTGCTCAGTTTCCGACAACCCTTCTTTCTTCTTGTAAATCCATTTACAACCCACAAGCTTCCTCCCTTCCGGTACCTTTACCAGTTCCCACACTCTGTTCTTGTAAAGAGACTGCATCTCTTCACCCATTGCGGCAAGCCATTGCGCAGACTCACTACAACTAATTGCTTGTTTATATGTGGCAGGTTCAAATGACTCTACATCATCAGCTACACTCAATGCATAACCTGTCATCGCATCAACACAGCAATTTCTTCCCTCCATCTCTTCAATCAATCTAACAGGCTTCTTGATAACTCGTTTAGGCATCTCAAGAATGGTGTCAGGTTGACTAGATGACCCCTGATTAGATTGCTCCACCTCATCCCCAGAGTTAGAATGAGTAGGAGTAATCTCAGGTTCAGGAGTACCCGGCACTGGAACATCAGCATCATCATCAATATATTGTACCCGAGGTAAATCAGCAATGGTAGACTGATGTACCTCAAGTACCCCATCTGTCTGTAATAAATTGTCTCCTTCCCTTCTCAAATCTGAAATCTCTGCATTTTTAATTGAATACATGGTGTTTTCATCGAAAGTAACATCCCTACTAAGAATGACCCGACCCTCCGAAGGTGAAAAAATTCTAAACCCCTTCACACCATCCCCGTACCCAACAAAACACCCCTTCTTGGCTCGTGGATCCAGCTTACCCTCAATAACATGATAATAAGCAACACAACCAAAAATCTTCAAATTCGAAAAATTAGGCAACTTACCACTCCAGATCTCAAACGGAATTTTGGAATCAATTCCAGAATGAGGACCCCTATTAATGACATAACAAGCTGTTAACACAGCTTCACTCCAGTACCTCCTCCCAAGCCCTGCATTAGAGAGCATGCATCGAACTCTCTCTAGCAGTGTCTGATTAACCCGTTCTGCTACACCGTTCTGCTGTGGTGTCTTCCTGACAGTATGATGCCGACCTATACCCTCATCTGCACAGAACTGATTAAACTCGTCTTTGCAAAACTCTAGCCCATTGTCCGTTCGTAGCTTCTTGATCTTCCTTCCTTGTCGATTTTCCACCAAAGCTTTCCATTGCTTGAAAACTTTGAAGGCCTCATCCTTTGACTTAAGCAACCTAAGCCATGTGTATCGGGACTTGTCATCAACAAATGACACAAAATAGTGGTAACCTCCCATACCTTCAACTCTAGATGGACCCCAGCAATCTGAATGGATGTAATCGAGCACTGCATCAGTAATGTGAGCACCCTTGCTGAACTTTGACCTGTGTTTCTTACCAAACACACAATGCTCACAAAATTCAAGGTTGGCAACCTTGACCCCGGATAGAAGACCCCTCTTGGACAATAGCTGCATCCCCTTCTCCCCCATATGACCAAGCCTCATGTGCCAAATCTTAGTCATCTCCTGGTGAGATACAGATGCGCAAACCGCAGAACTAGGCAGTGTAACACCCTCAAAAACATAGAGGGTGTTCCTTTTGATACCCTTAAGTACCAACTCAGAACCTCTGAAAATACACAACTCCCCATCTGAAAACACACCATTGTACCCCAATTCATCCAGGGTACCCAATGAAATCAGATTCTTTCCTAAAGCAGGAACATGCCGTACATTAGTCAAAGTTAACCTCCGCCCATCAACAGTCCTCAACCTCATGGAACCAATACCTGTGACCTTACATGGAGCATTGTTACCGACTATAACCATACCCCCATTGCGAGGTTCATATGTATCAAACCAATCTCGACGTGGACACATATGGAACGAACACCCCGAATCTAGAACCCAGTTATCAGATAAATCATCAGACCTAGCAGAACTGACTAATGCTAAATCTTCCTCTGAATTATAGCTCTCATTCGGTTTCTCTTCAACTACAGCAGCCTGGGACTTGTTTTTCCTCACCGGACAATTATTCCTAAAGTGACCCGGTTCTTTACAGTAATAACATGTTTTAGTAGTAGTTTTACTAGATCCATCCTTGCCGTTTCCAGCACCCGACCCAGCATTGTTCCCCTTGTTAAACCCCTTATTCTTTTTAGACTTTCCGGACTTAACAAATAACCCACTACCATTATCCCCATTATCACTCGTAGCTTTCATTCTGAGTTCCCTAGTATGAAGTGCTGCCTTCACTTCTTCTAAGGTTATAGAATCCTTACCAACAACAAAAGACTCTACAAAATTCTCAAAGCTAGACGGTAGAGATACAAGTAAAATCAACGCAGCATCCTCATCATCAATTTTAACATCTAAATTACGTAAATCAAGCAAAATAGAGTTAAGTTTTTCTAGATGTTCCCGTAAGGAAGTACCTGACTGCATCCGGAGGCTAAACAACCGCTGTTTCAGTAATAATTTGTTGGTCAACGACTTAGTCATATACAATGACTCCAGCTTCAGCCACAATCCAGCCGCCGTTTCCTGATCAGCAACCTCCGTGATGATTTGATCATCAAGACTAAGTAATATGGTAGAGTGTGCCTTCTCTTCCATAACTTCTAACTGCGAGTCAGTCGGTCCGTCTCCTGACTCCGAAGTAGTACTCTTTGGAGCCAACGGACGCCATATCTGCTGTTGTTTTAACAGAGCCTTCATCTTAATTTGCCATAGCCCGAAACTATTTTTCCCGGTAAACTTCTCAATTCTTATTGTTGAATCTCCTGCCATTGTTATCTTCAAGAAACTCTCCAAGGATTGAACCTGGCTCTGATACCAATTGTTGTGCGACAGCGGAAGCAAAGGTCGAAAACAAACAAGAAAACAATAAAGAAATTCAATGCAAACAATAAGAACAACACCAAGAATTTACGTGGTTCACTATCGATGTGATAGCTACGTCCACGGGCACCGAGATCGAATGATTTCACTATAAACTGCAAAGATTACAAAGATGATTCTTGTATTTCTCAAGAACGGCTCTCACTCTGTCTCTCTTAACCCTAATACTGATATTAGGGAGGTTTTATATTAATCCCTAATTAAAAGATACTTGGGCAAAAAGATAATAAAATAAGATAACCTAAAACCGCAAAATCCGCGTTCCGTATTTTTCCTTCTCCGCCCGGTCAGACCGGGCAAGGTCTGCCCGATCGGGCGCGAGAAGAAAACTCCATACGAATGCTTCAACGTATCCAACCCCCACCGCCCGGTCAGACCGGGCAAGGTCTGCCCGATCGGGCGAAGGCTCGCCCGGTCGGGCGAAGGCTCGCCCGGTCGGGCGCGAGAGCAGCTTCTTCAACGAATTTGCCAGGCACCTCTTCTTCTTCCGCCCGGTCAGACCGGGCAATGTCCGCCCGATCGGGCGGACAAAGCTACGAAGTACGAGTCACCTAATATACTTATCAACATGAACGTTGATATTATTAACTAATTCCATATTCACAGGAATTAGTGTATGGGAAATGCCGTTGACATGGTGTCAATAATGCTCTAAACTATATCTCTTGTATTATTTTATGTTTGTGGTTAATTTCCATCCTTTTCGCCTTTAATTTCGTTTAATTATAGATAATCGCGACATTACGTGGCCTACTTAGTGGCTGCATGTCCAGTGAAGTGGACATTTTAGTGTTCACACTTTAGCTGTTCACTTGTTTTTATATATCTTTGTTATGTTATGCCCATTGTTTTATATTTCTGGGTGTGGTCCTAAATTCACTATGTTTAATTTGTTTCCTGGTATAACAGTTACTATTAAATTATTTTGCACACAATTTGACTTTCCTTTTTTTTTGACGGCCTCACAATTTGCTATGAATTCTGCATTTGTAACACACTAAAATGCTGCATTGTTTAAGAGAATTGCTATTGTCTGCAGGACTGATGCTAATATTTTAATTTAGAAACACCTTAACACCTACATAATGTCTGTTATTATGCATCTTTTGACTGGTTATCCAACTCGGCCCGGTTAATTGGTAGGAAAAGATGATGTTTATGGTATAAAATTTCCTGTAATTTTATAATTCACGGTAAGAATTGAATGCAACTTTACATTCTAATGTGTGTGCTTTTTTCTTACATTTCCAATTACCATTTTATGTGTGTTATTGATGAGTGGGGATGAAACTTTATGATAAAAACACATATATGGAGATAAAACAGAGACTTTTAACATGTGGTTTTCCTTTTCTAAATTACATAATTTGATTTTCATTTTCGTCTGTCACATTACATGTTTGTCTTGATATTGCTTTTTAAAGTTTTGAGTGGTTAGGAACATATGATAAGACTCTGTATGTTGGACTTACTCAGATCCAGCAGGGCACTTGCAATATAAGTACTACTTGAAACATGTTCTTGAAGCAACCAATAGTTCCTGAATCCTGACTATACAAATCTTCAATTGGATGCTACTGATATACTACCTGTTACATGTTTTACTCTGTCTCAGAGGGCTTGACCTTCCTAATGTACAAGTTTTTGTTTCGACGAATTGAGCTAAGGATGCTAGTACTAACAATTAGCCCTATAACTTCTTACCAAATCTTCACGTTCTAATGGTGCTATATTTATGATAGTTGCCTGAGGTGGAAGTGGCTGTGAATCAGGCTGCGACGAGCTAGCAGCAGCCTGATCACAGCCAACGATCTTCTGACATGTTTCAATCAAGCAGTGCCTGCAGGTTGGGCATGAAGAGTGAGTATTGAGCCACTTATCAATACATTTGATGTGAAATCCGTGCTGACATTTTGGCAGTAGCCTCAATTTTTCTCCTGGTGCGAAGTCTGACAAGCATATAACACATTCGGTACCAAGACCGGGGAGCTTCAGGTTGGGTGAGTAATTTACTACAGCAAATGTCTTTAAAGCCTTCTTCTTGATGCCTGTGTCTTCTGAGCTTGGGTCATTGTTGCTGTCATTAGATTCAGTAGGCATGAAATTCGAGCATCGTAGAGCACACTTGATTATGGAATTTAGTCCTAGTGAGCAGATTAAGGCACACAAGAGGACTGATAGTACCATTACTACATTTGCGTCAAAGCCATTAGTTCCACTGTAAGGCTCTGTGGGGTCTACAGGGTTGTTAGCCATGGGTGGAGGCGGAGGCGTGGCGGATGTAGGCGGAGGGTGGTGTTGTAGTAGCCTTCTTGAGGGTTGAAGGTTCATTATTAGTTCTTGGTAGAGTAGAGGAGAGAGTGTGGATGGTGACATGGTTTAATTTTTTTTTCTTTGTTGTGTGTGTGTTTGAAGTTTGCAGGATTAGCCGTCCTTAGTGCCTGTCAGGATGAGTATATATAGACCACAGAGGCAAGGGCTTGGTCATGTGATTTCTTAAACTTTGTCAAAAAAAAAAAGAAAGTAAAATAAATAAAAAAAAATATAAATGATTGAGGTTTGATGGATACATTTCAAACATATCCGATAGTTTACTATTGCTCCCACTCTAGAGATAAAAAAAAAACATAAATTTGCATGTGTTAGATTAGATTTAAAGAATTTTATTTTATTTTTTTTGAGAGGATTTAAAGAATAATACTTTGTACTTCGCATACATTTTTTTTTTGAAAAAAATATTTTTAGTATTATTTTTATATATGTATTTTGACAAATTTATTTAATTTAATAGATATTTAATTGTTGTCGTATTGATATAGAATATTTTTTAATGGTAAGAAGAAGGGGGCAAAATGGGCACACTTATGAGGGAAATAGAATTCAAAGTGGGAAGCGATGCCACTACTCCATAAATTACAGGTCTAAAGTAGAGTATTGGATTAAAAAATAACAGATAGTAGAGTATAAAAGTCTTGAGGCCTGTTCACTTCAGTTTAATAACAGAGTAGTAGGGTATAAGAGTCTAGCTTGGGGTCTGTTCACTTCAACTCTATTTAGTTTAGTTCAGTTCAGCTCTTAATTTCGCTCTCTCATAAAATATTCATTTCAGCTCTATTTACTTTAGTTCAGTTCAGTTCAACTCCAATTAGTTTAATTCAGTTTTGTTCAGCTCCAATCAGTTCATTTCAGTTCAATAAATGTGAACAGACCTTTGAATTAGTGTATTAAAGTATACTTATTGTTTTTGTACAAGGTGGTAACAAACTAACAAATACACTATTGATTTATACTTTCTCCTTGAAATTATAGTCATTAATACTGATAAGAATGTTTGTGATTTAGACCTCCTTATAATCAAATAATATTGAACGGTAGGAATATTCCAGCAGCTAGGGTACGGGGTAGAGCCCAGGCCACCCACTAAAGTTATTTATTAATGGATTTTGTAATCAAAGATGTATCATGCCCACTTTCTTTTAGAGAAATTGTTGCCATGTGGAAATTTTCAATTATGATGAACAATATCTATCTCTATACTATTTGGGTCCCTTTTTGCCTTGCTAAATTATCAAGAAATTTCCTTTTGTGATTTGGACTTCAACAACAGTTTTTTCTTGGTAGTTGAAAGATTGCTAGCTCTATCACCCTATTTTCGAAATTTAAGGCCAAATAGTATTTGTGGGGGCGTTTTAAGAGTTGGATAAAGATTGAGAATTAATTATCGAGAAATTTATAAAATTATTAATACTGTAGTATGTTGTTTGGTTTATACTTTATGAAGACAAAAATTTGAGAATTAATGAATGTGTTACTTAAATATCTTGAGAGTAGTTGATATAAAGAACACAATAAAACAACGACAATTCCTTGTTTATTTTGGTAAAATTACAAAGATACTCTTGCTAATCTTATTTTCTTTTGGTTCGTTATTGGCTTATTTACCATCTCTTTTACCTATCCCTTGGGTGATAAAAACAAAAGAACGAATCATTTTATTTTCATTTCTTATTCCACTTTCTATTCCCTTTCCCGCAAAACAAACATGAGAATCTTGAATCAAAAAACCTGTGAACTTGTATGGGTGGTGATGGTAAGGTGAGGTAGTGGTTGGCATGGTAGCGGAAGGTGGTCAAAGTGAGAAGAGTGAAAGGAGGGGCAAATTAGTCAAAAAATAGGGCTTAGTCAACAAATTTTGGATGGTAAAAAGTTATACGTAGTTGTACAACTTTGTTTCTAAGATACTCTGCTAGGTTAACTTTTGAACAAACTCAGAAAATATCTTGTTTTCAACATTTTTTTTTGCTCTTTCAGAGCCTAACTCAAGTGCCTAAGCAAGTTATACACTTATACTTTGTACATTGTATTAGGTTTTGAAATAGCATGTCAGTCAATTTCTTTCCATTTATTATTAGTCCTACCAAAATTCTTGCTTTACAATTTGAACGGGTAATTTGGCCGCCATAAAGTATAGCCTTACCGGCCAAAAGCTTGAGAGCGATACAAAGTAACGGGTAGTGATATGACCTTATGTAAGGAAGGTACTAAGTTGACACTTGAGTACTTGACTGGTAACATTTTACGTGATACATAGTACTTTATCCGTATTAAAATGTTCTTCCTAGTTGTTTTTTTAATTCAGTGTTATAGTTATGTTATGAAATAGAGGGAGTATTTCGCTTAACTTTTTAATATGGAATTACACGAGCTAGTCAAGTAGACATGTGATAGACTGATAGTTACTAGACTTATCTATCGTCTTATCACTTTCTATTTTGATTTGATTATTGTGGTGGCAAAGATAAGATCTTGTGGATCAGCCAACCCACTCGACGGAAGTTCACCAACAACTGACTTTACCTTGTATTCCATCATATGAGGTTTGATAACATGATTTAAAGGAGCTTTTAAGGATAAAGCTTTTAATTTGCTGCAATAAAAGTCGACATGATTCATTTGTTTTGCTAAAGATGAAACCGTGATTAGTTTTGCATTTTGTGCATTACAGCATTGAATGAAAACTATGGCTAGAAAGTTGATGGTTACTTTGTTGCTACATTATATCTTTTCTTAGTTTCTAGGATTGGCCTGGCTAACATTTGATTAAGAGTTAATTAATATTCGTCGACATTTGAATGTGATGGTGAGGGTGTTTGGCCGGTTGTAAGACATTTGTCACATGTATTGCAGTATACTCTATAGGGCAAGGAGCTTGTGGTGTTCTGTTGTTACTCAACAGAGTGTTGTTTACTTCTTATTCGATGGGATGTTTAAGGAAAGGTAAAGGAAGAATGGTGTTTGGACCGCGATTTTAATGGAATTTCTAAGCGATGCCAAAGAGAGGGTTCCACAAGTTGTATAAAGAGAGATGAGGAAGGGTATGCTGGTCGGAAGAAGGGAGAAAAGAATGATATAGAAGAGTTTGAGAGTCACAAAGATATAGATATGTGGATGTTTTAATGTTAGTGCATTTAATTTGATGTTCAGCTTTTTTTTGTCATACAACATGAGAATTAAATAGTTTGTTCTTATACATGAAGAATTTTATGAGAGGCAGTAATAGATGTGGCATTTCTAATGTTGATGCATTTAATTTGATGTTCACTTTATTTTTGTCTTACAACATGGGAATTTAATGGTTTGTTCTTATATAATGTAGAATTTTGTGGGATGTTTTTTGGTACGCGTGGGTAGGGTGGGGGTGGCGGTGGTTGGGGGGTTTAAGTTTTAATTACAATTAATATGAAGTAGACGGAACATAAAATTACACAATAATTACATTATTAGTATGTGTTTCGTTAAATTATAGTGACAAGTGTAATTGCTATCAAGATTTAGAATTTGGAGATAATCTTAACCTTATTTAATTTCGTAAGAATAAAAATGACGGGAATGGAGGGATGGGGGGAGCGATGCAAAGGTATAGTAATTACACCGTGTAAACGACTAAACGGAAATTTGTTATCGAGTAATTAATTATATTTCAAGTTGAGGTTAAATCTTCAAATTACTACTTGCAGAATAGATGAAGTGACGTAGAATTGGTGTTGGTGGAGTGATAAAATTATCATCACATGAAAGAAAATTTGTTACTAGTACTAAGATTATTGCGAGTTGGTGATAAAACTTTCAAACCTAGAAAAGATTTATGTGACACATGATAGTTACCTTCCTTTAGGTCCCAAACGATCCATTATATAGTTGTACTAAAGTGGTTTCCTTTCATTTTACAAGTACAACAACAAATATCAAGTAGATAGAAAGAATGAGACAACAAATTATTTATATTCAGTAATTTATAGTCCAAATGTAACCAACTAAGATTATATGGTTGTGTTTATATTCATGATTTTGTAAGTTTTGAGATGATGTTTAATTAAATCTTGTCAACACAAAATTTAAATTGGAAGTACTTATTTTACAACCTGTTTTTGAAGTTGGATGTTATGTTAATGGCAAGCTAGAATTAGTTGAATGAGTATCTGTCTATGTTAGCTTTTGCATGCAAAATACAGAAATTAAAAACACAGCGATTGTCACTGTTGTCAGTATCCCACAAACTTTTATACACTATTATCACTTTACCAAGTTTATGTCAACCTTTGTGTCAATTTCCACCAAATTATAGCACTTCCAATTCTTCTAAAAAAGAAAAGCACTTCCAACTTATTTTGATCCTCAAGTATAATTAGTCTTTGTGGTTTCTTAATTGAGTACCCATCTTAGTAATTGCTGTAAGGCGGCTAGGTGAATTAGACTTGTTAGGGGTAAGAATCGAACCCCTCTCATAAGAGTGGTGTTATACTTTGGACAATGCCTAGGTCGTTATGCCTTATGTACAAGTTAGATTTAACTGATTAGGGAATCGCTACCTAGGGCCATACACGTATGTGATTACTCCCACAGAATTCTACTAATTGTTCAATTTAAGAAGTTTTTTTTTTTTTTTTTTTAATTTTTTAATTTTTTAATTTTTTTTTTCTCTTCTTTTTTGAGGTGCATAATCTGGGCTAGATATTGTAAGATGAGTCCTCTTAAAAGTTGAAGCAACCACCAGAATACAAAAGGGTGTGGGGGATTACTCCTTTAAGGCAGGATAGGCTAAGTTTAAAGTGAAAGTGAAAGGGTAAATGTCCCATAACTTCCATTAACCCTTGTGGTCTTGTCTACCTTTTCAATTTTGTTTTGATAACTTTGCAATCTACTTCGTATATCATTATCGATGTAACACTCAGATATCGATCTTTATTTTGAGGAAAGAGAAATTTATATACGTCGTATTTAAAAAAAACGAAACTCAATCTAGAGGGTACACTCTTTTTTTTGTGAGTGGGTCCCCGTACGATTGGTGCCTCTCGAAGAAGTGAGCTGCACGGCTGCTGTTTTGCACATGTATAGTTCTTTACTTTGCATGGATTGCTTTTGTTTGTAAGTTTTAACATCTAGTTATGTTGTTTTTTCTGAAGCTTGAACATTTCCTGCTTAACAGATATGTAGATTTTGATTGAGCACATGGAGGTTCTATTCTGATGTTTAAGGTTCATGTCTGGTCTCTAGACTATAATTTTATTGTCGTCGATCTTTGTTGAG